TTCCGAGCACCCTCATGGGCAACGCTGCTCGAAAGTGACTTCGAAGCACCTCCTGGCAGGCGCGAACCTGGCATCGGACGGCCGGGCTGGCAGCACGCGGCAACGACGGCCACTGACAAGCGCGTGCTCGAGACGCTATTTTCAGATCTTGACCCTGCGTCTCGAGCACTGCTGCTGTCGCAGAGTGGCGACGCCGCGAGCTGCGCTTTCACAGCCTTCCCAACGAGCCGGGACACGGACGTACCCGATGCCGAGTACCGCATCCTGCTGCTTCGCCGGCTGAGGCTACCGCTGCCGCTTACACCCGCGCGATGCCCTTGCGGAGGCAACCTCGACGCGCTCGGGGACCACCGGTCCGCGTGCGCGCAGGTCGGGGTGTTAGCCCGTCGTGCTGGCCCCCTCGAACGTGCAGCAGCACGCATTTGCCGCGAGGCAGGAGCGCGGGTTGCCACGAATGTTTCCCTGCGCGATCTCAACCTCGATCTTCCGGCCGCGGACGGGCGCAGAATCGAGGTCGTCGCCAACAACCTGCCGATCTGGCAAGGTGCTCAGATCGCGGTTGACACCACGATCGTAAGCCCTTTGAGGCGTGACGGCGAGCCCCGCCCGCAGGCGGATCGGGAACCGGGACTCGCCCTCCGTCAGGCCGTCGACCGCAAACTGCGAGCGTACCCAGAACTGCGGTGCGCCCGCCGCTGCAAGCTGGTCGTCTTCGGGGTTGAACTGGGCGGGCGCTTCAGCCAGAGCACCCTCACCTTCCTGCGCTTGCTCGCACGCGCCCGCGCGCGCCAACGCGCGCCATGGTGCGCGGCAGCGGCCCGCCAAGCGATGGTGCACCGGTGGACCACCCTGGCAGCGCTCGCGGCGCTCCGCGCCCACGCGTGCACGCTGCTAGAGCTTCCAGTGGGTGAACCGGTGGACCCGCTTGACGATGCTTGACGGGCAGGAGCTCGCTCTGGGGGAGCTCCTAGCGGGTGCCCCGCCGCCCCAGCCCAGCAGGCCGGGGCATGGGCCGCTGCCGCCCTAGACCCACTGCTCGTAGTAGCAGCGGCAGCAGCAGCAGCAGCAGCAGCAGCAGCAGCAGCAGCAGCAGCAGCAGCAGCAGCAGCAGCAGCAGCAGCAGCCGCGGCAGCAGGAAGAGAGCAGACTCCCCGCGAGTAAAAAGGTGCGTAAGGGAAAAAAAAAAAAAGTCTTTGTGCAACATGGCATCTTCCCTCGTGCATGCTCTCCCCCCCCCGCGTGCGAACTCGGTGTGACGTGCCTTCTCTAAACACAATGCACGTCTATGATCGTCCAAGCCACGTTCGACCACAGCTGTCGTCCGGACCACAAAGGGTCCCAAATGCTCAGGCGAGGTTGGTCACTTGCTCATGGACATTTCGCAGCAGACAACTCGCGATCAAATGCTTCAGCTTGTAATAAACGCCATTTTGGCTCAAGGCTCACGGCTTGGGGGTACTTCAGTTGTTTGGATGTTTTTGAGGCTGCTGGTAACAACGGTAGGGCGTCCTTCTAAAACTGGCCCCGGGCTCGCGTTTCTGAAACCTTGTATAGCCTGTTCGGCACATGGTGGCAGTGACACTGCAATGGGGAGGTGTGGAGATTCGTGTACCGGAGCTCGACGGCCACTTTGCGGCGGGTGAAGTTGTTCTTGCAACCCGGTCGTTGAGCTCTTCGCGGCGGTCTCCCCCAAGCTTCCGCAGCCGCACACGTGGCCCGCGATCCCGCACGAACCAACCATCAAGGAGCACTTCCCGCACTTCCCGCAGTCGCACACCGCCAGACGTGGTAACTTGGTTCCCCCCGAGGGCAGCCGCCTGTTGCGCGCGCATTCGAGGAGGAAAACACAAGCAGTAGGACTTCTTATTTGCATATGTTGTTTTTTGTCGATCGCCACACTGCGGCGTTTCGTTTCTGCCCGCTTCCGCATGCGCGCTCGCACGATATGATGCCATGTTTGGTCAACCTGTTGCCAGCAGGCCTTGCGTGCGAAAAGACTGCACTTTCACCACTTGGTTCGCAAGAAGAAAGCAATCTTTTGGCACACGTGGCTTCAATCCCGAATCCGTGCATTGCTGCTAGGAACATCCGGCGACAACTTGGAACCTCCAGGCACTCTGTCCCTCGTTGCATGCGTTCTACTGTTGCAGTTTGGCAACGTTGCTGCATGCGCCACCGCATTGCATAGGAATGCAATGGCTGCCTGCCGGAATGAAGTTGCGGCCATGCCTTCACTCCGCTTGTTTGCCCAGTGTCACAGCCACATGACCTTTTGCTACCGGCAAATGTTGGAAGGATCCGTATGGACAACAAAGACAAATTGTCGGAAAACTCCGTGTGGGGAGTGAGCTGTTGGCGCACAACCATGCACCGCTTGAAGTGTTGGTGGCGGCCCTCGTGCTCAACCTTCTGGATTCGCTTTTGGGAAACATGGTTTTGCCTCCCATGTCGCTGAAACAAAACCGTGGTCGTGCGGACTGCGAAAGTAACAGCGAAAGCGCAGCTGGCTGCGCATCAAAGGTGTAGGAGAAATTGGCAAATCGAACGCACTCGCGAAGCGTTTCCCTCACTACGTGGGTGTTGAAACGTCGGGGGAAAATTCAGGCACAGAAGAACAGGAACCGCAGACACTGTCACGGCTTACGCGGCAACAGTGCAGCAACACACTCGTCGGCCCAATGCAGGCGTGACGAGGTGGTGCTCCCGTGCTGGTCAAAGGAGACGTGAGGTGCGGATACATCCATATCATCAAGTTTGGTCCGCGACTCCTTTTGGCATCAGTAGCTTGTTTTGACCGAAGGCTCGTTGGACGCATCAAGCACAATACTGCGAATTGGCACGTTGCGGTCGTAACCATTTTGGCTCAAGCTTCCGGATCAAGCCAAACCGAGCCACAGAGGAGGGTGGGGGAAGGCAACATGCCGCTTTCTGAGAAGCAGTTCTCTGCTTTGAAGGAGTCTTGAACTAACCGTCTTACGTGTCTCCGGGTTGTGCGCACGCAAAAGAAAGACGGTGACCCTGTGCAGCGCCCTGCTTGTTCCTAGCCACCCAGACCTGTCTTTTTCAAAGCAAAATGGAAGCTGGGGAAGCTGGGGAAGCTGGGGAAGCTGGGGAAGCTCTCTCTTTTATATTCTGTTCTCTCAACTGCGTTCTGTTTGAGTGTAGTCTCTGGCTGTTTCGTGATGGGGGTAAGTCCTTCTCTCCCCCCCGCGCCCCGACCCCTTCCGAAACGCGGTCCTACAGCCCCAGGCCTCACTTTTAGAACGCCCGAAAGTGCGGGAAAAATGCGGTAAATTTCTTCTGGCCCGTAGCGCGGTCTGGCGGGGTCGGACTTTTCTCGGCTGCTTCTCGAAGCCGCGTCTTTCGGCTGTACGGCGGCCCGGCGGTGTCGGAGTTTCTTCGAGTAATTGGGTCGAGTCCGCCTGATTTAAGGAGTCTCTGTTGGCAAAAACAAAGTTTCTACGTGCACAGACTTGAATCTGGAACAGGGAACCCCAGGGTTGTCAATTCTTCACAATTTTCATTAACGTTTGAAAGCTGGGGGAGTGTATGCTGCAACGGCCCTCATGTGACCTTCGTGCGGCTCGACTTTGTGAAACCGACGGGCGTTGAATGACACCGGTTGGTCGTGCATGTCGATCCACGAGCCTCCGCTTTTTCTCCATCCCTTCCCCTTCCGCAATGTGCTGAGGATGGGAATGTTGTGGGGCGACACAGAAAGGGCTACAAAGAAAACAACGTCAGGGGCCTGAAATAGCTCGTTGGTCCATTTGTTTCATGTCTGCCACGGAGAGCCCCGCGTCAAGAACTAGTGTTTAAGCCGTCCGGCTAGGCCAGTTGCGAAGCCGTGTTTTCTGAAAGGCTCAGATACCCTTCTACCAATTAGCCCTTCGAAATCAAAGCAACATACATGCTCTAAGTATTCAGGATGGTCTAGGTGGGATCCATTTCAAGAGTTCTCCTCAGGAGCAGCTGAAACGACTGGCAAAGCTGCAAGCCAAACACCTCCTCAGCTTCACCATCGCCTTGACCATCCGGCCTGCAACTGCACAATGTAAGCAACGTCTTGAAGCGCAAGAACACACTTTAAAGTAAGTACTCAGCAGCACCTTCGCGGGACTCTTTTTCCGTTGGCTTTCGTGGTCAGTCGGGCATAGGTTTCAGAGCTTCCACCAGTTCTGTCCATTTGCTGACAGCTTGCTTGAGCAAATCTGCTTGTTGCCAGATCCCAAGCTTCTTGCACAAATCCTTGACGTGACTCTCTTCAAAGGTCACCAGTGCGTGAGCCTTTGCGAGCTCGTCTTTAGATGTTATCGAGTCAAGCTGTGGCTTGCTCCGCCAGGCGCTCAGCCTTCGTGTGAGTCCTTCTCTAAGCTTGGTCTCCTCGCTCGGAAGCTCGTTGAGTCTTTGTTCGAGGTTCTCTTTGGAAAGTGGGTTTTTTGGATCGCTGAGACTTAGAACTGTCTCTTCGCTTGTGATGCGGTTGATGTTACCGGCCATTGGCTTTCTTGAAAAGTCAAAGAATGCTTCTGCAAGTACCACCCAGTACAGTTTGATCCTTTTTGGAGGGTTGCTCATGTTGGCTAGGGCGTCATTCATCTTGTCCGACTTGAACGTGTGGCTTTTGCCTGTTGTTATCTGAAAGGCATGCAAGGTCCCATTCTTATCGAGAAAGCCTGCGTCGATGACTGCCGTTTCCTTTTTGGCTGTGCAGTAAGTGTTCGGTTGGTTCGCAGCTGTATTGAGGAGCTCGAGTAGCCCTCCGTTGACCCTTTAAACATGTGTGAGTGAGAGAGAGAGAGAGGGAGAGAGAGAGAGAGAGAGAGAGAGAGAGAGAGAGAGAGAGAGAGAGAGAGAGAGGGAGAGAGAGAGAGAGAGACACACGCACATATATATATATATGTATATATATATATATATATAGATATATACATATATATATATAGATATATATATATATATAGATAGATATATATATATATATATAGATATAGATATCGTCAAGACCAGAGCTCTCGCACGCAACACTTCTTTTGCTCGAAAAAGTCCGGAAGCATCTTCTTGAGCGGATCGCCGGGCTTCTCGAAGAACAGCCGCAGTGGACCGGTCCGCTCCAACATTAGCTCAGCGAGCCCCGTTTCGCTGAAGTAAATGCTGGGAATCTCGAGATTGGGGGTATCAAGCCGGACCTCGGTGGTGTAGAAGACGGGCAGGGCTCCAAGAACGTCCGGGTGGTTTTGGAAGACAGCCAGCGCATCCTCTGCTTTCTTTGTAACGCTGGGCCAGCTTGGGACATATTCGCTGACACATTTCGTCTGGATGCCAAGAACGAGGAGAGAAGCTGCCTCTGTCTTATTGCACTCCGACTTCAAGTCACGAATTTTCCTTCGGTCGTCGGGATCCGGGACCATCCACGGGATCAGGTACTCGATGCCCGGCTCGTTGCGCAGCTTGGACACGACGATCTTACCGCTTTTGAGGGACTGCAGGACTTCCTCTGAACATACGAAAGACTTGACATACTCCAACGGTGCAAGAGCATTCTGCATGGAGGTGACGACGACGTTCTGCAAACCACTTGTTGTTGGTCGAAAGCTCGCCCCATGGAACAGCTGTTCGAGTGTGCATTTGCTCTTGCCCAACGCCAGGCGCACAGCACAGTCGAAGTGGACCATGATGTCCTCAAACTTCTTCTCGTTTGTGTCCTCCATGACCGCATCCTGCTCGAACATCTCGATGATCTGGCCTGCGAGACTGGTTCCGTCACTCCGTGCCCAAAGTTGCAGCACTACGGGATGAAGGATGTTGATGAAGCTGTTGCCACATCGCACGGAATGAACAATACCACGCAGACGGAGGTCTTCAAGCACTGATCGAGTTGTGGAAGCGAGAGGAGACCACCAGTGAATCACCTCGACGCTGTCCAAGACTTTTCGGTCTCCGAGCTTGGCACGAGTTACAATGGCAAGCTGAAGTTGATTCCATGCAAGTGGATTCCGAGGAGGCTTCTTGAGCTTGGAGTACTCCTTTCTCAAAGCATCGAACATCAGCCGCGGATGACCCAGCAGCTGTCGCACGAGTTGACGTCCGGATGGTTCTTTGTCCAGTTCTTCGCGAAGCTCCTCGGGCAGCAGCTGCAAAGCCTCTGCAAGTGGCAAACCCCTCAACGAGATCGGCAGCAGCACATAGCGCCCGGAGTCGCTCATCAGCGTCGACATGTAGCTCTCAAGCAGCGATGTCCACACGAAGATTACCGGGCAGTTGCTTGTTTGGAGGAGGGACTCGTCCTGGGCTCCCATGAGGTTGGATACTAGTTGCACAGCCCTGTCTTTGCCAGCAAGGGTGTCGAACTGCCGAATCTCATCGATGCCTACCAGCAGAAGGTCGTCGGCGCCCAAATTCAGCTTCTCTCGCAAACACTGCATCACCTGCTTGAATGAAAGAACGGCCGCGCAGTTTTCTGCTTTCTCCGCAGGCATGCCTGACTGCTGAAGGAGTAGCTTTGAAAACACTTCGGTTGCAGCTTTGCTGTTGTCCCAATAGCTCCCCCCATTGAAGTCCACTGTCAGAGCCGCCTTCGCCCCGGTTTCGTCCCGCCAGGTCGTGCACATCTCGTGAAGTACTCGAGTTTTGCCTGTGCCCTTTATTCCGGCCGTCGTCAGGATTGCACACTTGTTTATGCTTGACCCGGACTCCCAGTAGTAGTCATCCTGTGACAAGGACCCCCGGATGTACTCCAGGATTTGATGTTTGGCCTCCTCGCGCGCGATGAGCCGTGGCATCATCGCACTGGGAGAGCGCACAGTCCAGCTTGGGCAAAGGATGTCCTGCAGTTGGGCTACTGGAGGTTGGCTCGGACTCGACTGTCTTCAATGGGTGGGGCTCACTGGGGACTTTGCCGGAGTTGACTTCGGATAGTCCTGGATGGCCTTTTGTGCATCAGGCACCTGCAGGCTGGGACATTTGGTCAGCTCACCGCATAAGCCCGTCTTTACACCTCGAAGACCCCGCCCGACCTGGACTAATCAGGAAACCGACCGTGGGGCTCGCCGTGCCCGACCCCAACAGCACCAACACCCGGTAAACAAAGAGGTGCAACCAGATTTGCCTGAAGCCTGAAGCTGCCAAGAGCCCTCTGCTCCGAAAGACGCTCCCGCTCCCCGAACTGCTGCAAGCCAACACCACAAGGAGATCTTGAGAGGAAAGCAGCACCCCAAAACGCAACAACGGTAGACCGCACGAAAACGCACGACGACCAAGAGCCCCGGGCAGGCAGGAGTGCTACAAGCCAAAGGCAACATGCCCACGCAGAAGCCCCCGGCCTGCACTCGTCTTGCCGGAACCCCACCGCTCGGCAAGGTCCGCGTGCTAAAAGCAGGCACTAAGAAGCCAGCCCCTTGACCCCCCCCCCTCACGGACACAGAAACCTGAAAGTCGAGCCTCAAACGAAAGCAACCACAACCTGGAGAGCGAGCGCAAAGCGTGCGCAAAACAGGCCACTCCCCGAAGTGCTGCAAGCCAACACAGTGAAAACAGCTTAACGAAGAGCGGAATCCTTGCTGAGAGGAGAGCATGACCCTAAACCAACAATGGTGGACCGCACGAACTGCACACACAGAAGCGCAAAAGCCCCGCCGGCCTGAAGGGGTGCTGTTGATTTGGCTTTCTCGAGCTCCTCATTGGCCTTTTCGGCCTCCTCCTTGGCCGTTTCAACCTTCGACTCGGCCTTTTCGAACGCCTCCTCGGCCTCTTTGAACGCCTCCCTGGCCTCCTTGCGCTCCTTTTCGTTGCCGTTCTGCACGGCTTCTCGAAGCCATTGGCGCGCAAAGTCCCGATCTTCCCGGGCTCCGTCCAGATCCTTCTGGGCTCGGTCCCATTTCTTCACAGCCATGTCGAAACGTTTCTGTGAGAAGGTGTCCTGCCAGGTCCAGTGGCAGAACAAGGTTCTCACGGAGCGTAGGTCGGAGCTTGAAGCTTTCACGCCCTTCAAACTTCAAACTCGGACATTGCCAGCCAGCTCTGGCCTTCTCGGTGGATTTGTCGAAGCCTTTGTCCTGTAAAGACCACAACCACGCCACGAATGCTAGAAAATACCGGCTTTGAGACGTGCTGCAGGCATCAACCCACATCAAACAAACAACTGTGTTAGAGCCGGAGCACCTCCTTGATCTCCTTTGTCTCCTGAACCGTCTGCTGCAGCTGCTCGTCCTGGGCAAAGGGCACAATCTGCAATTGCGAACTTCAAAGAGCCCGCTCAGGCTCAGCCCACAATGGCCCACAACAAGCAAGACAAGCAAGCAACAACACCCTCGGAGGCACAGCCTGCTTGGCATCTTCAACCGGGTCAGCGGTCTGTGCTGAGGCAGCCTGCATAAGCAACCCTTCAAGCTCATCGAAATTCGTCTGGAGGACAAAAATCACTGAAGCAAGAGACAACGCAAAGCGCCTCATCCACTGCCTTGTTTCGCGAACCCTGCAGCAAGGGGCACATTCTCAAAAACTGTCAGCGAGCCTTCACGGAGCCCGCCTGATCGAAGCTTGCTGTGGCCTGCAGGAGCCACACAGAACTGCGAAGCCCTTACCGGCAAGAACAGGCTCCCTGCAAGTGCCTCGGCCGTCGCTTCTGCTACGTCATCCGTTTCTGGGGTGGCCTCCCAACATGGACTGATGCCGAGAAGACCTACATGTGCTGCTGGCAGGACCGTTTCATGCAAGCATGAGACCATCGCAATCAATCCCTCAAGCTCCTCGAAATTCGTCTGATGCTCCCGCCGAGCAGCTTTCGATGCGAAATCCGAACACACGCCGAAAGGACAAGCAAACCTCGCCTTATCTTCGTCTTCACGAGGTTGCAGAGGCCCCTGCTCAGAAAATGAACACACTCGGGCAGGAGCGAAGGAAACGCCGTCAGAACAGCACAAAGAACGCCACGCCGAAACGACAAACCCTTTTCGCCTTGACGTCTTCACTGTCTTGGGCCTCACCACGGCCAGCCTCAGCTCTTCAGGACATACGCTTAACACTGAATTTCCTCTGGGTCTCGGCTTCCCACCTTAGCCCTGCGTGCGACCAGCAAGTTCTGTGCCCATATTCCCGGAGGAACCGACCTCGCGCTGGCTTGCGGATCTTCGGCGCTCCATGCCATACATCACATCCCACCTTGGGAACGGCACGGCCCCCGCTCCAAGCAAAGCCCACGCCGTCTGCGTTGCTCGCCTGAGGCTGCTCGGGAAACCCTCTAACACTGTTCAAAGCACTGGTCTTAGGCTCTGGCAGAGACACCCAGAACAGTGCCAGTAGCACCACAGCGCGCCCGACCTTGCGGGATGTTGCTGGAGGCCTGCTCATGGCGGCAGTCGTCCTAGCTGTCCTCTGGCTCGAGCAAAAGCACTGCAATCTGCATGAACGAATGGTCGAGCTCAGTCACTGGCCAAGTGTTTAGTTAACCAACTGCAATTCAACATGCGAAGCACTTGCAAGTGTGCACAGGCAACTGCTGCAAGATGCCTCGGTCGGGGTTCTCAGCAGGGATCGGGCCTTGCGTCGGCACACTCCCCAAAGCCCATGAAATGTGAAATCTTGCCACCCCCAAAGGCCCGGGCCCCAGTCTCAGGGTGGGAGGGGGATGGTGGGGGTGGGAGGGCCTGGTGGGCAGTGAAGGGCCGGTGATCTTTCGAGCGCCCCTGGCTGGTGCCCCGTGATGCGTGGCCCCATCGTGGCCCTGGGACCCCACCTCTGTGCGGCCTCGCGTGTCGCGGTCACCCCGGACCGCGTGACCCCGTGACCTCTCTGTGGCCCCACGTGTCACCGTGACCGTAACCCTGTGATGCCGTGACCCTCGTGCCGGGTGGCCCCCGTGACCCACGTGAGCCGCGTGACCAGTCACCCCCCTTATTCCGTGACTCCCGTGACCTCGTGACCTTGTGACCCCGTGACGCCCATGACCCCGTGACCCCTGTGACCCACGTGAGCCCGTGACACCCGTCCCCATAACCCCCATCACCCCGTGACCCCCCCGTGCCCCCCCGTAACCTTGTGACGCCGTGACCGGTGTGACCCATAACCCCCGTGACCCATAACCCCCCCGTGCCCCCGTAACCCCGTAACCCGTGACCCCCTGTGCCCCCCGTAACCCCGTAACCCCGTGACCCCCGTGCCCCCCGTAACCCCCCTGACCCCGTGAACCCGTGCCACCCTGTAACCCCGTGACTCCGTGACCCCCCATGCCCCCCCGTAACCCCGTAACCCCGTGACCCCCCGTAACCCCGTAACCCCGTGACCCCCCATAACACCCCCGTGCCGCCCGTAACCCCGTAACCCCGTCAATTCTGTGCCCCCCGTAACCCCCGTAACCCCGTGACCCCCCCCGATGCACCGGTGCTCAAAATCCCGGCTCGAAAGGGTCACGGGGTTACGGGGTTACAGGGTTACGGGGGGCACGGGTTCACGGGGTTACGCTTCCACATCCCGGCTCGAAAGGGTCACGGGGTTACGGGGTTACGCTTCCCCATCCCGGCTCGAAAGGGTCACGAGGTTACGGGGTTACGCTTCCACATCCCGGCTCGAAAGGGTCACGGGGTTACGGGGTTACGCTTCCCCATCCCGGCTCGAAAGGGTCACGAGGTTACGGGGTGACGCTTCCCCATCCCGGCTCGAAAGGGTCATGGGGTTACGGGGTTACGCTTCGCCATCTCGAAAGGGTCACGAGGTTACGGGGTGACGCTTCCCCATCCCGGCTCGAAAGGGTCGGGGTTACGGGGTTACGCTTCCCATCCCGGCTCGAAAGGGTCACGGGGTTACGGGGTTACGCTTCCCATCCCGGCTCGAAAGGGTCACGGGGGTTGCGGGGTTACGCTTCCCATCCCGGCTCGAAGGGGTCACGGGGTTGCGGGGTTACGCTTCCCCATCTCGAAAGGGTCACGGGGTTACGGGGTTACGCTTCCCCATCCCGGCTCGAAAGGGTCACGGGGTTACGGGTTTACGCTTCCCCATCTCGAAAGGGTCACGGGGTTACGGGGTTACGCTTCCCCATCCCGGCTCAAAAAACATGGTCACGGGGTCACGGGGTTACGCTTCCCAGTCCACCCAGAGAACAGCACAGCCACTCCCGAGGTGTGCAGGACAATCAGCCGAAACACACCCTAAACCCTGCTTGCCGATGTGCTCGAAGATGTTGAAGAGGATGGCAAAGAGCACCTGGGCCGCGAGAGGGGGCCCGGGGTTCCCGGAGAGGCAGGGGAGACGCAGGGCACTGTAGAGCTACAGGGGAAGGGGAGGAAGGGCAGCACAGGGCACTCCTGGGCGCACACTGACAAGACCTCGCTGCCTCGGAGCCCCTTGCCTACCAACTTAAACCCTAAACCTTGAACCTCTGCGGCGTCAGGCTCGGGAAAGCGGGGCGTGACTTGTGACTTCTGGGTGTCGGGCTCGGGAAACACTGGCGTGACTTTTGGGCGTCGGCCTCGAGAAAGCGGGGCGTGACTTGTGACTTTTGGGCGTCGGCCTCGGGAAAGCGGGGCGTGACTTGTGACTTCTGGGTGTCGGGCTCGGGAAACACGGGCGTGACTTGTGACTTTTGGGCCTCGGCGCGACAAAGAAGGGCGTGACCTCTGGGCTGCGGCGTAAAAGCTCTTCAACTCCACTTGCCTCCGAAACCCGCTAAAACAAGGCACGCCTCAATTCCAGGCAAGTCGCCACCCGAGCCCCCGAACCCCAAAAGTCACGCCCCTCCCCCCCGGCCCAAAACCCAAAAAGTCACGCCTCAATTTCCGGCCCAGGCCCCCAAAAGTCACAAGTCACGGCCCCTTCTCCCGGCCCAAACCCCCCAAAGGTCACAAGTCACGCCCCTCCCCCCCGGCCCAAACCCCAAAAAGTCACGCCTCAATTCCCGGCCCAGGCCTCCCGGCCCAGGCCCCCCAAAAAGTCACAAGTCACGCCCCTCCCCTCAAGCCCCAAAACCCAACAGTCACGCCCTCCCGCTTCCCAGACCCCGAACCCCAAAAAAACCACCCCTTCGGTCCAAAATCCAAAGCTGCGGCCTCGTCTACCATGAAGGTGTCGAAGAAGCAGGCGACACCACGGCGAGGACCTGAAAGCAAGAAAAGGGCCCGGGGTTCCCGGAAGAGGTGGGGGAGACGCAGGGCACTGTAGAGCTACAACGGGAGGGCAGGGCACTCCTGGGCGCACACTGACCAGACCTCGCTGCCTCGGAGCCCACAAGCCTGCAACCCGAAACTCTACCGACCCTGAAGCCTCGGCGGATCACAGGAGGGGCCCGGGGTTCCCGGGAGGAGGAAGGCGCAGGGCACTCAGACGACCTCACCTGCCAACCCTAAACCCTGAAGCCTTGCAGCACAGCGACGCACAATCACTGCCTCAGAACCCCCAACCACCTCCCAAACAACCCCTGAACCTCTGCAGCGCCCGGCGTTCGGCCCTGTGTCAGGACCCTGTGTGCTGTCTTCCTTAGAAGTGTTGCTTTGCCTGCTGCTGTTGCGACCACACCATAGATGCTGAAGGAAGGTCTCTAGTTGGCATATGATTAGGACTAGGACGGTATCTTGTCTATTGCTGGCGCTTCGAGGAGCGAGCGCGGCCCAAGCACTCTAGCAAAAAAAACGCGCAAAAAAAACATGCCAAGAAATTATGCGAAAAACATGCAAAGTCATGCCAAAATCATGCGAAAATCCAGCAAGAACATGCAAAACAAGTAATGCCCACGTTTAGGGTTTAGGGTAAATCCTCGGGGGTTTAAGGCAGGCCTGCTCGCCCTAGAGCAGTGATTTTTAGGCCTGCTCGCCCTGGAGCAGTGACGAGTTTCTAGGCCGCTGCCGCACGTCACTAAAGCTTACATGATTTTCCACTGCTCGCGTTCGGTCATGTTCGCTGGCCAAAAACTCGACCGACGAAGGGGGGCCCGCTCGGGGGACGACCTTTTTTTCCGGGTGGGTTGTTCAAAAGATGGACCGGTTCCTCGTGAACCCCCGGCCCAAGCCGCAGCCCAAGCCCATGCCCAAGCCAGCGAATTTGATGGAGGAGGTCATCTCGATCAAGCACGACGAAAGCTTAGTCGAGAACCCAGGTTTGCACGCGGTGGCGTGGGAGGTGCCGGTCATCATCCGCGGCGTCCGGCGCACAGGCCGGAACGCCGGCAACGGCTACGAGCGGACCAAGTACCTCCCGGTCACTACGCTGAACGCCACGCTGTCCCGGCAGAGCGACGGCCTCTCGGAGTTCCAGGTGCGCCGGAACGTGAAGGCGGCCGTGCTCGCGCAGCTCGGCAACCCCGAGCCGAACGACATCATCATGGAGCTCTCGGACGAGACCTACTACCTGGACCCCGCGAGGGAATGGACCTTCAGCTCCCAGGTGATGCAGGTCGTCAACGACCAAGTGGAGGTGGAGGCCATCCTGGAGCAGCCTGCGGGACGTCTCCTATCAGCTGTACTGCGGCGACGACATCCTGGAGTCCGCCTTCGAGCAGCGGCAGGACAAGCTCTGCGTGGCCAGGCAGCTCGCGGAGCTGATGCGCCTGCCGCTGCAGGAGGTGCTGTCGGACTTCGACGCGATCTGCCCGAACAGCAAGTGGCGGGAGCAGGGCGTCAGCCCCAAGGAGATCCGAGAGTTCTGCGTGTGGCGCGGGGCCCCGATGTTCTACGTGGACTGCCAGGGCCGCCTGCTGGACAAGTACGAGCCTACCGTCAAGGAGCAGCGGGCCGTGGCCTTCACGAGCTGGAACGGCCACGCCTTCTTCTACAAGTCCGCCCGCACCGTCGCGAAGTGCGAGCCGGGCCAGGTACCGGGGCGACAGGAAGCCGAGCGAAGCCCCCGAGTTCAAGGAGTGGCGGGAGTGGGAGGGCGAGGTCGCGAGCGGTCACTTCTACTCCGAGGACCTGGCGCGGGTCCGGGGCGAGCTGCTGGCCGAGGGCCACTGCCCGAAGGTGGTCATGCGCGGCGCTGCCTGCGCCTCCGCGTCCGCGGCGGCGGGGACTGCGTGATCTCCAATCTCGACGAGGACGCGGAGGTGCTGGAGGCCTGGATGGGGCGGCTGAGGCTCCCCTACCGGGGCCAGCGCCTCGCGGGCGCGGCGAGCGAGGTCTTCCTCCCCGGATCGCGGGAGGCCGTCCTCGCCGAGCAGGACCACCTGTGCAAGCTGCGCGGCCCCCATCGACAGGACGACCTGCGAGCTGGACCACGTCGTCCCCGTGCACCAGTCCTATTCCGCTCAGGCCCAAACCCTCCAGGCCCTCTGCCTTGAGTGTCACCGGAACAAAACAGCCCTGGAGTTCTCCCACCCCACGACGCTCGAGTCCCGCTTCAGCCGGCGGGCCTACAAGGCCTACGTGGAGTCGCCCCGGCTCCCCCCGCTGGTCTTCCACCTCAACAGCCACAAACCGGACCGGATCTGTCACGGGGTCGACGTGGTTCGGTGCCGCAAGAACACCCTGGCCAACGCCAAGTTCCCGGTGCCGGTCTTCTGCCCCAAGGACAACGTCGAGCCGGCCCGCGAAGGCCACTTGGCGGACCTCACCTACGTGGAGCTGAAGCAGGACAGGCGGTGTGCGGTCCTCCGGCGGCTCCCGTACGTGGGCCGCGGGTGGTACTCCAAGCCGGCGGCGGCCTACATGCTGGAAAGGGGCGTCGCGACCTGGGCCGACTTCGCATGGAGCCTGGACGCCACGGCGCACGTGGACCAGGAGTCCGTGGCCCAGGCCCTGCAGCAAATGGAGGAGGCGTGGCCCGAGGGCGAGGAGCACTACGCCAAGCTGTCGGTCAACGCCCTCGGCGCGCAACATGGACCTGATCTACACGATGCGCACCAGCAACCACGAGTACGACGGCTCCGGGTGCCAGTACCGGGAGCTCTTTGTGGACACCGCAGGGGGGATGCACTGGGACCACATCTACGTCACGCAGCTGCTGTCCAACAAGAGCTGCCGGCCGATTCACGACTTCGTCATGGCCTCGGAGTACGTCGCGGTCGCCCGGATCCGGGACGCCCTGGCGACGGTGCCGCCCAAGTACCTCAAGGCCATCAAAACCGACTGCGTGGTCTTCCAGGACCTGCCCAAGAAATACCAGCCCCTGTTGGACGGCCTCGTCCGCAAGAAGCACCGACGGCACGCCCGTGTACCGGTGCGAGGAGGTCAAGGCCCTCGAGGGCCAGTACCGGAACCCGTGCATCGAAGCGGAGCCCGTGAGCAGCCCGTCCAACTGGAAGCTCGCGGAGGACCCGGCCTCGAGGGCGAGAGCCTGCTGCTGACCGGCTACCCCGGCACCGGCAAGACTCACCTGGCCCGCCAGATCGTGACCCGCCTCCGGGAGGAGGGGTTCCGGGTCAAGATCATCACGAAGACCCACTCCTCCGTGCAGAACGGCGGCACGCAGGCGGAGACGGCCGACCACTGGGTGCGGAGCAGCATCCGGAACGGGTACTGCAACGTGGACTGGCTCGTCGTGGAGGAGATCACGATGCTCGACACCGGGCTCTGGAGCGACATCGCCTGCCTCTCCATGAACCGCCAGGTCAACTTCCTGCTGCTCGGCGACTTCCGGCAGTTCCCGGCGGTGATGGACAACTTCGCCGGCGCTCAGGTCATCCGAGAGCTGAAAACCTGCCAGCTGCTCCACGACCTCACCCGCGGCTGGCACCACCAGCTCACGGAAAACAGAAGGAGCGACCCCGGCATCTTCGACTTCCTCCGGTGGCTCCGGGTCGAGGAGGCCCAGGAGCAGCCCCTACCCGAGGCCCTCCGGGTAGATCAACGCCCGGGACAACCGTCGCCTGGCCCCGCCGGAAGCTGTGACGATCGAGTACACCGGCACCGGCCCGACGACCACCAACATGCCGCAGACCATGCGGGTCTGGCCCGGCCATCGGGGCCGGCGGCCGCGTCATCAAGGGCATCTACGTGCACGTGACCGAAGTGGGCCCCGAGAAGATCGTCTTGGACGGCGGCGACTCCTTCACCCACGCCGCCCTCCTGAAACACACCCGGCTGTGCCACGCCATCACCTACGCCTCGTGCCAAGGCCTGACGCTCGAAGGGCGGCACCTCTATGTGGGGAGCAGCAGGGCCACCAGCAGCGGGTTGTTGAGCGTGCTCTAGAAGAAGGGGCACCGGAGGGCCGGGGCCTCAGCCTCCCTGAGCTGCAGGTCCGTCACTTCGAGCAGGAGCCCGCACTGACCCGACATTAGCCAGACCTGGCGCAAATCTGCGCGCACCTTGCACTCCCGACTGGCCAGGTCGCCGGGGTCCTCCAGCGGCTGCTGGTCGGCGTCCCAGAAGTGGACTCGGGACAAATCGACCTTGAGCTTGATGAAGCTGTCCCGCGGAGGCAGGACACGAAGCGACCCTCCACGTCCGACGCGGTGAGGTAGCGGCCGAAGATTTTAGAGTCGTGAAGGCAGGCATCGCTGGGTCAGCTGGCCCTTGATGTCCTTCTCGATCGCCTCCAGGTCTGCCTTGGCGGCCTCGTTCTGCTCGAGACACAGGGGGAGTCGCCGGGCCTCCGTCTCGCTGCCGTAGGGGCTGGGGTGCCACAAGATGCGCAGCCACTCGCGGGACCGCCAGGCCTCCGCGCGCACCGGGAAGAACTTGCCGCCACGCTGGTTGGTCGTAAGCTCACCGAGCTTGAGTACCGTTTTGGGCTCCATCGCTCCTTCTTTTTTCACGACAAGAAAAAAAATGCCGGCCACTGTCTCCACCGCGGAGTGTGTGGGTGTGGCCCTGCTCGCCTGCCTGCTGGTGCTGTGGGCATTTTCTTACCCTTCATCAAATGAAGCTCCTGGAGCTGTTCAGTGGCACGGGGTCGGTCGGCCGTGCCTTCGAGGCCCGTGGCTGGCAGGTAACGAGTCAAGACAGCAACCCGAAGGCCCGCGCGAGCATCTGCTCCGACATCCTGCAGTGGGACTACAAGGCCTTCGAGCCCGGGCACTTCGACATGGTCTGGGCCTCGCCCTGCTGCACCGAGTTCAGCATCGCCCTCAAGAAGCGCCCCCGCAACCTGCCGGTCGGGGACGCCCTGGTGCTCAAGACGTTCGAGATCATCGACTACCTCAAGCCCAAGTGGTGGGCCATCGAGAACCCCAGCACCGGGCGCCTCAAAACCCGCCCCTACATGCAGGGCCTGCACATGGACCGGGTCACCTATTGCAAGTACGGCTTCCGGTACAAGAAGCCCACGGCGGTGTGGCCTGGACGCCCTCCCAGGGCCCCTGCCGCAAGGGCGACCGCTGCGAGGCCTTCCAAGGAACTCGGCACCCCGAGGCCGCGCAGCGAGGGCCCACCAAGGGGCGGCAGGGGAGCAACTCGCGGGACCAGCTCTACTCCATCCCGCCTGCGCTGTGCGACGAGATCGCCGCGAGCGCAACACTTGGGTTAAATGGGCAAGGTGCGTCTCTTCAAGACGCCTGAGTACTCCGTCAAGCAGCCGCCTGACCCCGTGGTTTGCAAGCCCCCCGCCAACGGTATTTTGTGCGCTCCATCTGCAGGCGGAAAGACGGTACTCCTTGTGAGCATGATTTTGGAGCAATACCGGGGCTGCTTCGAGCGCATCTATATCTTCTCGCCCTCGGTAGAGGTCGACTCTGCCTGGCAGCCTGTCAAGGATTACATCCGAGACGAGCTGGGCGTGAATACGGACCGGGAGCAGTGCTGGTGGGAGGATTGGGACGAGGGGGCGCTGCGGAAGATCATCGCCGACCAGAAGCGCATCACCCAGAAGAGCAAGGAGCTGGGCCTCAAGAAGCTGTACCAGGTTTTGGTCATTCTAGATGACCATGCCGATAATCCTGCGGTGCACCGCAAGACGGGAGATGGCTTATCGCTTGTGCCAAAATTGGTTTGAACCCAAAAGCATCATCCGAACCTAGGACAAAGCACAAAGCCCAAAACCGACGACAGTCCCAAGCATTCCTCCTTTTTCAATCGGTGGGCGAATCAAAGATCCTCGCGTAGACAAAGACGCAACATTTGAATCCCCGGCCGGGGTAGGCTCACGGGACATGCGGACCGTAGACCTACAGCAAGGTACCAGAGGCAACAGGCAATGGCGAGAAGGTAGCCGGGAGTTGCAGCTTGCAACAGGCTTGCTCCGGGGGATATCGGGCATGAAGCCGACCGGGATGGCCGGGCGGCAAGGCAACGGCTGCTGGCCGATTTACACAGGACCTCGCGGTTGCGGAGCGCGGGCCCCGCAACTGCATACACAGGGTGGGCTGGGTGGGACAAATTTTCACGGCCCGATGGAGCCCGTGCTGCACGACAAGACACACGCAACAAGTTGCAAATAGCAGCCGCCCTTTAGCTTCACAAAGTATGGCATGTTGCACACCCAGGCGCATTGCACAAGCTGCATACATCCACTGCAACCCTGTAAACTGCTGGTCAAGGAATTTGCAAAACATGCAACAGGCAATTGTGGAGCATGGGAAACATAACGCATCACGAAAACTTTTGGCTTCAAACAGTGACTAAACGGCAAACCGTTTTCACAGGGCAATTTTTGAAGCAAGCGATAAAACACAATTCGCTCGCGAACAGTAAGCTTATCGCTTGTGCCAAAATTGGTTTGAACCCAAAAGCATCATCCGAACCTAGGACAAAGCACAAAGCCCAAAACCGACGACAGTCCCAAGCATTCCTCCTTTTTCAATCGGTGGGCGAATCAAAGATCCTCATGGACAGTACTATGCACATTACGTCAGTGCACACTCTTGCCAACACGTGCGCAACACCACCAACAAAACAACAAGCCCCCAATTAACCGAAATACCCAGGTGGTTGCCATCAAACGTAAGACAGCTTATAGCACAGTCTCCAGAATTCACCCGCCCCAAGTGGCAGTCACCACTTCCCGAGGCAGTCTACACTATCCCACCCGCAAGGCATTTGCCCACATGGAGCGGGGGCGCAAGGTTGAAGGCGCAGTCTTGCAAACATCGCGAGGGGAAGACCTCCCTACGGGACTGGCCTTAAGATTGCGCCAGCGCAATGCACACAGACTTCACCACGCAGGTCAAAGCTGGTAACTGTCAGTCAATTCGGTGTTGAGCTGCGGGGGGGGGGGGGATCGCTGCAGTACCCTCTCCTCCCCCCCCCCCTCCCCTGGGTAATGGTATTGCAACCAAGCACCTCTTCATTCATTCGGATGCCCCCCCCAACAGTGCGCGGTACACAAAAGGGGGGGGGGGCTTGCTGCATGGGGACCAGACAGACCAACGTTACTAAACCAAGAAATCAGCAAGAACAAGCCCGGAGTACCCACAGAGGGCATCCCCCCATCCCCGAGGCTCAAATTCCAAGGCAGCCCAATACTGTTGAGAGCGCGTATAACCCGAGTACGCAGGGGCTGCCCAACCCGCACATCACGAAACGTGCGGGCCACACCGTACCTCTTCATATGACGAGTCCAAATGTGCCAATTAAAAATTAGGACCCGGGAAAGCCTTGCATAGGTGAACACGTGTCTTGATCCGGGCCGCCACCGGGTGCTCCAGAGGTACTCGGGCCGCCAGCATCTCTGTCCGCACCACACACGGTTAGCTCAGCCTGCATGCGGGGGGGGGTCACGGGACCCAGAGAGTGTTTGCGCCGGCCCAAGGACCAATCCTAAAGGAAGTTGTTCGGCAAGTTGGGTTCCCGAGCTGAAAGGCATCGGTTCACAAGCCCCCCTTCGATCACACAGTAGGCCTCCGGCACGGAGGTTCTTGGCCCAACCCAAGGGGGGTAGGGGAGCGAGCCAACTGTACTATTCAGCTCATCTCACACGCCACAGGGAGTTGACGCAATGAGGGGAATGGACACTTAGTTGGCTCAGTCTTAGGCTGATCGCTCAAGCTTTCGTCCTCCACTGGCGCACGGGAGGCTTGTTGCATTGGATTCAAGGCGGAACCCTTGAGGGAGACCGACATGACCGTCACAGGCGGTGGAAAGCAGCAGTCTCTGGGCCAGAGCACGACCCACAGAAGCTCACGCCGGAAATTAGCAATCCCAGACGCATAGCACTAAGTAAGACTCAGTTGCCACGTAACGGGCACGAGCACAACCCACGCATATTACTCCTGGCAACGGCATACCAAGGTTTATGGCACAGTGCACTTAGCCCCAATGTGCCGCGCAGCGGCACAGCACACATCAACGCTTTCAGGGTTGCGCTCTCGGCCCCCACTCTCCAAGCACCCATTGGACAGGAGCAATAGAGGGGCGAGGGGCGTTCAAGCTAAAATTAATTCAGGCGTTTGGTCTGGCAGCCTTTGGCAGCGCCTATCACAAATCAACAGCTCCAATCGCATGTTAAAGGGTCAGGGAGAGCATGTCAAGCGTCAGACCCACTAGACCCTGTGGGCCAACCTGTGACGTGCTCGGGACGAGCCTGCCATGAGACAGTCAGTGGATCCGGCCGATACTGCCCAGGCACCACAGGTTCAAAGGTCGGGCGCCCATAACGACAAGTAGAACCGTCTAACAACAAAACAATACTCCCGACGCGCAAGCCGTGTGTGAGGTCCGGAGGACCGGGGAGCCCCAGCCAGGCACAACAGGCTTAGATATTCGGGCACCCAGGCGGCAAGGGAACCCTGCGTGCACAAACCAGACGAACGCCGGCTAACCCCTCAGGCATCCCAAACAGGCACACTGCAGCAGCCTGAAACCACTCAAAAGGCACCCAGACGGCAAGGGAACCCTGCGTGCACAAACCAGACGAACACTGGCTAACCCCTCAGGCATCCCAAACAGGCACACTGCAGCAGCCTGAAACCACTCAAAACCAGACATCACCCCAAAACCAGACATCACCCCACATAACCGAACTAGAGTACAGGCCGGCTGCAGCGCACGGCCGGCTGGCTACGTTGGACAGCCTTAGACTGCTGGAAACATGGGTCAGGAGGGCGGGAGGCCGACAATGCACTGGAAGTGAGCGGGCGCAGTGCCCCCTGTATAATGGACTCCTGCACACCGAACAAGGCCCTGGCAGGAGGCAGATGCTGTCCGAGAACAGTGTCGGCGGAGGACACATTGACGTTGGCTCAGCCCTAGAGTCGTGGCGGGGCAAAGGGCCACGCATGGCTCAATTGTAAACGTAGCAGCGTGTAGACGGGAAGCAGACCACAATTTCAGCTCGATCCAGGCGCACGCGCGGCACTCACGGCGCAACTGTTGCAGGCCGGGCCTGACCAACATCTAGACCAGGATGAGGAGACATGACAGAGCTGGTCCAATGAAGACGCGGCGTTGGGCCGTGCACCGGATCAAGTGAGCATCGAACACCCAACGAACCAAGCCACTGGCGAGGCCTCGAGGCCACACATCTTCTGTGCAGGAGGAACCTTGACTTGCAGTGTTGTATTACCAAGCATTAGCATGGCCACTCGGGGCAGACACGCATGGTGGCACAGCCCACGAGGGGCCCACCTGGCAAGATCATACCAGACTGTGGAACAGACCCGTAGCAGTCAACACAAGCAGCGCAACACGCAAACACGCGCTAGCTGACCACGCACAGCTCCCACCCAGAAGCCCAGGTCGGTGGGTAACGAGGCTGGAGAACTTAGGGAAAATCCAACACACCCCGACAGGGTTCGCTTGGACCACAGCAGGTTTTCGCAGCTGAAATGAGGAGCTGGGCAAGCGCAAACGATATGCCACGTCGAATGGCTCACCTTGAGGGAGAGGCCGCAGCCAAACCCTCCACAATGCAAGGTTTGCGACCGGCAGGACAGCCGAGTGAAGGTTTAAGGAAACATCGTAAGCGAACCCAAAACATATTGACATGCCCATTGGCACGGAGGTGCACACCTGTCCAGGGATGCCGCTGGGAGGCTGAACGAGGATGTTCACACGTGAAAACGTGGGCAAGTTGCAGAGAGGCCATGGACGCACGCCCAGGCATGACCACCTCGTGGATTTGGCCTGCATACAGGCAGGGGGCCCTGCGTCTGGTTCGGTGCGCCATGCGGACCACCGCAGAGCTGCGCAAGGCGTGGATGGTATCCTGTGGACAACAGCCTGGAGACTTGCCTGGGCTCCAAGGGATCACGCCACTTGCATTGCATGAAAGCAGGTAATTTGGAATGCTTGGCCGATGTCCCAAGATATTGCCCGCACAAGCGGGGCGTCTGGGTGGATATCGAAGACGTCGTTCAGGAGGCCACATGTCACCTCAGGTGCATCAGACATGGCATGCACTGCTACTTCAAACCTTGCAGGCATTGTCTGCAGACCAGATGGCACTAGACAATACAAACTCACATGGCGGGAAAAGCCAAAAGCAACGTGAAGCAAGGCCCTAACATGATACATGAGTCCATGAACATGGCTTTGAGCCTTCATCCTTGCACGAGCACCCATGGTGCAACGGACATATGGCACCATGGCCATGTTGTATGACAGCCCCTTGGCTCATACAAAGGCACCATGTGCCGCTTCATGAGACCCACATAGCCCCTTGGCTGAGCAGACATTTGCTCGTCTCATGACATCACATCATAAACATGCGCAAACACATGCGTGAGCGCCCACTCATTTCCTTTTTTCGACATTACGAACTGCTTCCTCATCGCTAGGCAGTCTTTGCACCGCTTCCAGACGAGTGCCTCGGCGCCAAACGAATCCAGGGGCGCAGAAAGCGCAAAACACATTTGCCCCTAAGCCGGCTCAAGAACAAAGCCCCGTAACGTGATCACGCGTCAAAGCGGAAAGACAACTGCGGGCATTGAAATTATGAGCGCGGATAAACGCTTGGAGCCGCTCGCTAGCGGGTGCACCCACCAACCTTGTTTGAAGGGCCCAAAATGAGGTCATTTTGCGTGGCCCCAAGAGGCTCGCCTGGGGCACAGGAAGGCAACAATTGGCGTCAAGGATGACGAGGTGAAACGCTTCACCTGTTAAGCCTTCGCGCACTTGTTGCAGGGAGATCTCATCCCGGAATTTAAAGTTTGGCGGGACCTTGAGGCCCCACTGCTTCTGTCCAAGGTCCCTACACTTGATACCTGCAAGAGTTGCCCGGAACACAACCCGACAACATTGAAGGGCCAAAGAGGTGCATGCCGTGGGGGGCAGAGTTGGGCCATCCAACAAAGCAGTCAACGGAACCACACGTTCCGTGATGACATAATGAGCCCGGCACAAACCGTCTGCTCCAAGGGACACCCAAATGGAGCCACTGCCGAAGATGCGGGTAAAGGCTGCCGGACACGCAGCAGCACTCTTAACCTCATTCACATTGTCAGCATCGTTTTCAGCGAGCTTCACCACAAGGCTTGCAGCTGGCCCTTCACCCCGAAGGTGGTACACTTTCCGGAAACCCCCTTTGAGCCCTGGCGCCCTGCTCGACCCCAAGACTGACAGGCTTTCACCATTCACTTCCAGGGTCAGGTGAAGGTCATCCGGGAACATGTCGCTGCCTGTTAGAACCCCTGAAGCACGCAAAAGCTTCATTGAGGGCATTGCTTGTGCGCTGCTGGGGATTGCCTCTTGAGCGGCATCCTGAACCGGCACAGCAGGGAGCGCATCATGAGCAACATTCTGAGCCGGAGCCGGAGTGAGGAAAGAGCCACCTTGACTCTCGACCAAGCAATTTCCGCAAATGTCGAAGTCGCAGACCCTACAACCCCAAAGCAAGCGCCGCGTGGTGAACACGCGTTTGCAAGCACTGCACCACCATCCAGGCTCAGGAGACCCAAAGGAGAACAAGGGATGACCCGCAGAACACGTGGGACGAGCATCAAGCCTGGCCAGAAAGGCCTCTGCACAATCCTGCGTGATGCCCTCGTCAGACGAAGCAGAGCCACTGGATCGGCTGGTACTTTCGGGCTCCCTCTTCTTGCGCTTAGGGCTAGGAGGTCGTGGGGGCATTGGCCGATCACCAGAAAGCAAGGACGTTGATGCTTCAGGCACACATTCCAGGAATGGGGCATCTGACCTGTTGCTGGAAGGGTAGGCCGCGGCACGCTTAGGGAGACATTCAGTCCTGCGGGGAATGGATCCAGGACCAGTAAAAACAGGTCGTGAACTCAACGGGGCAACCACCCTTGGTTTCTCAGGCAAAGACACCTTTCCAGGAACATCACGGACACCTGCTGGCCCCATGAATATTCGCCTTTGGAACGGTCTGACCTCATCCACCATCGCACCGGCGGACGCACATTGCCCCGAACTTTCCGACACAGCAGGAGCCTTGGCTGATGGACTCGACTCATCGAGCTTACGAGCTCTGGACACCTCTAGGGAGAACGCGCTGATTGCACCTGAGGGGGCCTCGAGCTGAGGGCTCATAACCAGCTGCGCGTACTTGGCAGAGCCGCCAAGGGGATTGCCAGTGGGCTCTGTGGTGGCCTCACTGGCGCTAGAGGCCTTGTTGAAGGTTCCGGCCTCCCTCCCCGTGGCACAAGGTCCGCTTGGACCGTGGCCTGGTCCACCACAGGCAACCTGGTTCTTATCGAAGCCCAACTGCACCTCGGAATATGGCGCACCCACAGTTTCACATCACTCTGCGGGTGAACTCCGGGCCTGGAGACGCATTCAGGTGGCGCAAGTCTAACAGCTTGTTCGGACTCAACCCTATGAGAGGCCTTGGTCCTAGCCGTCGTTGTCACCTCCCTCGACGAAGTTTTGGAGGCACTCTCACGATCGGGTGCCGCATCTCCCACACCTTGGAGGGGCGAGCTGGGTAGAGTGCGTTGATGTGCGCTCGACACATCATACCTGACTGGCTGCCCAAGAGGTCTGTCTGGGGGATCAAAAGCATCACCCTTACCCAGGTGAACCCCGACTTGCCCAGGCGCACTACGCTCTGTCTCGCAAAGAATTCCGGAAGCCCCAGGAGACCAAGCCCTAACAGCACGGGTTGCACGCAATGCATCACTATGCTGGCCAGAAGGAGAGGACCCCACGCACGCGCCATCACCTAAAATTTCGCCATCAGGTTTCACGGGCACCAAATCTTCGGCTTCACTCCCACGTAGCGTTGCACGAGCCTGCGATGTACCGGCGGGGCTTGCTTGGACATGGGATCCGAACGCCTTGCCAACCGGTGCACTATCTTTAGGCTCTGGGAACACGGGTTGGCCATCAGGTTTCTCAGGCACCAAATCAACGGGATCACTCCCACGTAGCGAAACACGAGGCTGTGATGACTGAGCATTGCCCATCTCCTTCGGGACACCATCAGCCTGGTAGCTAGGCTCACCAGGCTCAGAGCCCACAGCTTTTGGAGCTTGGATGGTGGGCTCACCCTCAACCAGAGCATCTCCCTGGGCGCTGGCACGCCCTTTCGGGACACCGTCAGCTTGGTAGCTAGGCTCACCAGGCTCAGAGCCCACATCTTCTGAAGCTCGGATGGGTGCCTCACCCTCAACCGGCGCATCTCCCTGGGCGTTGGCACAACCTCCCCTCTTAACCGAAGCAGACCGCCCAGAGGGATTCTTCCTGAAGCGCTTAACAACGCACACAGGGGCCACAGCAGGGGGCGCGGAACCCGCAGGGACGGGCAAGTCCGGAGACGCAGCTGAGCCAGGCAACGCCATCATCGGTCGTAGACGGCCAGGTACCAGGCAATCACGCAGTGAGCACACCAATGGTGGTTGTGGTTGATACGGTAGCGTATGCACCCGTTGCGACCACACTGCTGACAAAGCTGCTGACAGGCCGGTATAGGGGGATCCTGCTCAACGAGCGGCTGTTCCGGAGCACGACGACCACAGGTGGACCCCATGGGAGGCTAACAAAGGCTGATGACAAGCAAAAGGCAAGCCACGCCCAAGCAGAAGCCTGAACAGAAACAGGAAGAGGCAGTCCTGGCAGGACTCACGGGGCTGCGGGCCCCCAAGTGCACAGGAGAACACAGCGCGGCTTGCCCACGGAGGCGAGCTCCCATCCGCTGCCTGCTTCACGCAGGCAACTTGCACTGGGCCTAAGGCCAAGGTTGGAGGATGGGGCCTGTTGAAGAAAGACCTGTTTGGAGCCCCAACCTCGTTGACGACAAATTTTCACGGCCCGATGGAGCCCGTGCTGCACGACAAGACACACGCAACAAGTTGCAAATATCAGCCGCCCTTTAGCTTCACAAAGTATGGCATGTTGCACACCCAGGCGCATTGCACAAGCTGCATACATCCACTGCAACCCTGTAAACTGCTGGTCAAGGAATTTGCAAAACATGCAACAGGCAATTGTGGAGCATGGGAAACATAACGCATCACGAAAACTTTTGGCTTCAAACAGTGACTAAACGGCAAACCGTTTTCACAGGGCAATTTTTGAAGCAAGCGATAAAACACAATTCGCTCGCGAACAGTAAGCGTTTTGGACACGCTTTTCATCCGTGGCCGACACTTCTGCATCAACACCTGGGTGAGCACCCAGAAGCTGCGGCTCATGAGCTCCGCCGTGCGGGTCAACGTCATGTTCTACTGCGTCTTCCGGTTGCGAAACCAACTGGAGCTGGATGCCTTGGTGGAGGAGCTGAGCGCCATGCTCCCGAAAGAAACCCTCTACGCCATGTACGAGGAGGCCACGAGGGAGCCCTACAGCTTCTGGTTCGTTAACCTCCGCGCGCCCAAGGAAGACATGTTTTGGGTGCGCTTCGACCGGAAGTTCTTGCTAAATGGGGACGCTCCTGAGCCAGATGGCGGCCAAGTTGTTGGGGGGAGGCCCGATGTGCGAAAGTGAGTGCAGCAACATAAGGTGCTGCACCAGCACGCAGGGCATCTACGACCCCAGCCACTGGCCGCCGCCAGAGAGGCCCCGGCAAACCTCCGACGGGTCCAACGCCAGCGAGTTCTCGGTGCGGCCCACCCTTTTTTTAAGGCGCCGTTCTAAAAAGGGCATGACGAGTATCTACGTGGACTCGCGCCTCCGCGCGGAGGGCACGGACAGCAGCTTCTCCTTCGACATCGGTGAGAGTGTGCACATTCAATCCGGCGCCAAACTTGCGGTGTACAAGGTGCGCGTCGCCGACGCTTTTCTGAGCAGCGACCGCGGGACCTTCCTGTACTGGGAGGACGAGGTGGCCGGCACCCTGCACTACGCCGAGCTGCCTGTCGGCGCATACACGGGGCCGAGGCTTGCGGCGTGGATCAGCTCCAACTTCGCCGCGGCCACGTACACAGCCGAAACAAATGAGCTGGACGTCACCTACGACGGCGCGCGCATGATCCTGAACGACGCCGAGCTCCGGCAGCGCTTCCCGGGGACGGGCCCTACCCGCCGGGCGCCTCGCCCAGCAAGCCCCTGTCCATCAATCATCTTTTGGGCCCCAGCTACCTCACGGGCTCCGTGCAGCGCTTCGTCTTTGTGACGATGAATCCGTTCTCAGAACTGTACCTCAGGTGCCCAACACTGGCCAACGGGGAGACGACAGTGGGCCCGTTGGGGCACGACATCCTCTGCAAAATAGTCGTTTCGAAAGGTGTGGGCCACGTCATGGAGACCGAGACGTCAGAGGGGCACTGGGTTCAGCTGCACGGGCCCATAACTCTGCGTCACTTGCGCTTCAAGCTCACCGACTACCAGGGCAACATCGTGAACACCAGAGGCACCAGCATTTCCTCTGTGGTTTTCCTCGACACCGAACGATAAAAAAAATAATTGGAAAAGAAAATGGCTGAGGATGAACCCGCTCCTGCGCAGCCGGTGGTGGCCACCGAGCCCGCCGTGGCCGAGCCTCCCGCGCAGCCGGTGGTGGCCGAGCCTCCCGAGCCTGCCGCGGTGGCCGAGCCGCCGACCGAGGTTCCTCAGGAAGCGCCCCAACCCAAACGGCGAGGGCGACCGCCAGGTTCGAAGAACAAGCCAAAGCCGCCCCCGACTGTGGCCGCGGCGGAGCTTCCGAAGCATACTGAGCCGCCGACACCGGAGCCGCAGCAAGAGCCCCAGCAGGAGCGAGCACAAGAGCCCCCGCCTGAGCCCCAGCAACCCGTGCGTATGACGCCCTCGGAGGCTCGCCGCGCCCGGCAGCTCTCGCGAGCCGACTGCTTCCATGAGCTCCTGCTCGCAAACACAATGGACTTGTAAAAAGAGATGATGCCCTTCCCCGAGCGGCGCAATGAGGCCGCGATGCTGCGGGCGTTTCACAAGCAGTATCCCAGCTACAACTTGACGCCGCTGCTCTACAAGCGGCAGCAGCAATTGATCGATGCTCGGGCCTTCTTCTTTCTTTCGGACGCACTGTGAGTCACAGTTAGCGATAGTCTGAGCAGGTCGTGTTGACCCGGCAGTTCGTGACTGCAACCTTAGGCTCTCAACAGGAAAACGGCCCCGCGGCGTACCGCAAAGCAAGCCTGCAGCAAAACAGGACAAGGACTAGGCCCTAACGAACCAACACAGGTAACTATTCCTACAAATGGTGGAAACATCACTCGGCTGGACTTTGCAAGCAGTCAGACCGTCGTCAGTGTAGCTAGAATCGCAAAGCAACTCATCAGAGACGCAGGATTCCATCCCTGTTGCACTCACCGCATGGTCAGAAAGCAGCATCGCCCGATGATGCTCGGGCCTTCAACGAGTGGCTGGCCAACCGGCGGCAGCGCCAGGAGGGCGAGGCCTATACGGATGAAGTGGGGCGTGCAGTGGACGCCGTTAACAGGAGGATCCCCCAGTTGAGGTGGGCCCCCGCCGAGCGGGCGGGCGTGCGTCGCGTGGCCCGCGACGTGGCTGCCGGGCGCAACACTAGCGACTCTGCGGTTTATGGCGGCCTCATGTAAAGACATGGAGGAGCGGCGTGCGCAGCTTCCGCGTACGGCCGTCATACTCACAGGTCCTGGGCTACATCGCTGAGGGCGAGCCCTTGCCCATCGACCTCCCAAACCGCAATGCCAGCATCCTGACTTCCAGCCACTTCTGGCTGGACGACTATCCCCAGAGCTCCGAGCCCGAGCCAGCCCCGCTGCCCCACACGACCGTGGACCCTGCAGCAGCCTACGACCCTACGAGGATGCCAACGAAGGCTACGATAGGGTGCCCTTCCCGAGAAGGGACTGAGCCTTCGACATGGACAGCGAGCCTGATTTCGGGGCCGTGGACCCTGGCCACGCTGACGGGCTGAACCCGCCGCCGGCGCCGGGCTTCCTGGGCCGGCTGCAGCAGGCCGAGGCCGCGGCGGGAGCTGCGGCGGGGCTCCGCCTCCGCCATGGCGGGGCACGGGCAAGACCTCTACAACGCCGCGCGCAGGGGGCGCAACTGGATCGACCGCAACCTGCGCATCCCGCGCACGCCCGAGGGCCTAGCACCACCGCCTGACGAGGTGGTCCCTCCGCAAATCATCGGCCGGCCCAGCGAAGTGGAGCCGCTGCTGGAGCGAGCGGGCCAGCGGGCCCAGGAGGTGGAGAGGACGGCAGCCCGAGACAGCGAGCAGTTCATGAGCGAGCAGGTGGCCGAGGCCGAGGCCACGGAAGGTTTTGCGTCCACGGCGGAGGCGGCGGCCGGGGCTGCAGAAGCGGCAGCGGCTGCAGAGGGCCCCGGAGCGCTTGCGCTGTTCGGCGAGGCGGCACTGGGCACCGCTGCGGGCATGGGAGCAGCAGCGGGAGGCTTGGCTGTGGCAGGCGGGGCGGCCGCACTCGTGGGCACCGCGTGGGCACTGCACGGCGGCATGGTGGCCGTCGAACATTTGCTGGGCTGGGGCGGAGGAGGAGGCACGGACACGGACGCCTCGCGCCCTAGCTCTGCTCCCGACATCCAGACCTTGAATGGGATGCAGGAGTTTGGGGCTGAGCAGCACTTCCAGCTCCGGGAGCAACGCCCGCGGACGCAATTTTACCGCATGGACACGGAAAGCGAGTCGGAGCCGCGGGCCCAGCCGCCCCCGCGAGTGCAGGCTCGCCCCGCGAGGCCCACGCGTCTCCCCACGGGCTTGAACCCCGCTCCACTGGCGCAGTCCTCGGGCAGCGAGTCCTCCAGCGGGCCTCGCACGCAGCGCCCGTCGCGCACGCGCCGCCCCGTCCTTCGAGGCGCTTCGCAGCGCGAGCGAGCCGGAGGCCGCATGAATCTTTCGCTAAAGTAAACAGTATGGAGCAGGTAACTGCTGCCGTCAATGATGAGTTGGTTCAGAGCCTCGACTACAAGCTCCAGTCGAGCAACGTCAATTACGTGCAGAGTCGAAAAGACGTGCAGTACTACCCAAGCTCGCTGAGCGTCTTCACGCCGACCACGAGCCGCGTGTGCCGCATCCCGCTGACGAGCGGCATGGACTTCGTGGACGGCGAGAGCGTCAAGCTCGACCGCATCGAGGTCTTCGCTAATGGAACTCGCATTGAGGACATCTCCTACTACAACCGTTGCTCGTACCTGTACAGCCTCCTCAAGAACGAGGAGTGGTGGCTGAACCGGCACATCCAGGGCTTCCTGGCGGACGGCGGGGGCCACGCCGCACCCATCCCGGCCTCGGGCTCCCGCACCGTGCTCATGAGCCCGCACCTCATCGGGATCTTCAACTGCGGCAAGATGCTCCCGCCTGAACTCAACCTCGTGCTTCAAATCACCTTCTGCGACCCCACGGACGGGGCCCGCAACATCAGCGGGAGCCAGGACTACACCATCGAGAACGTGAAGCTCTACGCCTCTCAGGCGACCCTCGACTCCGCCCTCTGCGAGAGCTTCCAGAGGATCATGACCAGTGGTCGCAGCCTCGTGTTCTCCTTCCCGACCATCCACACGCAGCTCTCCAGCATCCCCGCAGGGTCCACCAGCTACAACATCACGGTGGCTCGTGCATTCACAAAAATGTTGGGCGCCTTCGTGACCTTCAACAAGACCACGGAGGACCACGTGGACAATTTCGAGTACCCTGGAGCGAATGCGAACCGGAACCTCAAGGGCCAGCTGCAGCTGGGTGCCTTGCAGTACCCTCGCACGGCCAACGAGAGCATCGCCGAGTGGCATCACTTTTTGGAGATTCTGGCGGGCACGTACGACTCAAAACTGCGCAACATGCGCATCCGGGACAACCTGTTCGGGAACACGCAGTTCGTGGCCGCCTTCCCAGTCGAAAGGGTTCCGAAGCACCCGCTTTCGGGCATCTCCACCCGCTCCGGCGACCTGTGCCGCTTCAGCTTCAGCAACATGGAAGCGGACCGCGCGGACCAGTGTTTTGTGCACATGTTATCGTTCCAGCTCTGCACTTTGAGCTCGGCGGGCGTGTCGAGCCTCGACTGATAGAGTAAAACATGAGTCTTTTCGAGTCGACCATCACCGGGAACATCCTCAACGATGGCCAGACCCCCATCACCACCATCGAGATGCAGGGCATCTCTGCAGGGCAATTGGCCACTGTCCTGACGGCCTATACGCCCCTCACGGACACGGCCGCCAACACCGCCTCCATTGGGACCAACTCGGCCGCCGTGGCCGCGCTGCAGACACACATATCCGCCATCCCACCGCCTCCTGACCTCGCGCCCTATGCGCTGGCAGCCGATTTGGCAGTCGCCGAGGGCCTCATCGCTGCCAACCAGTCTTCCATAACCACCCTCAGCAGCAGCCTCACCACGGGGCTGGCAGGGAAAGCGAACCAAAGCGCACTGGACGCGCTGCAGCTGGACGTCAACTCCAAGAGCACGCCCGCCTCCGTGGACCTGAAGCTCGCCAACCATCCCACTAACGCTTCCATGAACAGCGCCATCACCAGTGCCGACGCAGTACTTGCGCAGGTCGCAGCCACCTATGGGCTGAAGAGCACGCAGGACCAGCTGGCCCTCGACGTGGCGGCCCGGCAAACAGCCGCTGACCTCTCACAGGCCATCGCCACTGCTCTTTTGGACCGGCCCACGACCACCGACCTCAACAGCGCCGTGGCCCTGCGCACCACACCCGCAGATGTCTCGCAGCTCATCGCTACGGCGCTTCTTCCTCTCGTCAGCGCTTGCCATCCGAGACGGGAGGCTCGACGCCGCCGAGGCGGCCCTGGCGGTGCTGCAGGCCGCGGGCTTCCAGTCGGCTGCCGACGTGGCTGCAGCGCTTGCCACCGCACTCGCGGGGTACACGGACACTGCGGGGCTCAACGCACTGCTGGCCGTGCGAGATGCGCGCCTGGACGGGCACGACGCGGAGATCCTGGCACTGCAAGGTGCGGGGCCCTTTGCGACGGCGGCGGACCTCTCTGGCACTCGATCTGCAGCGTGTTGCCCGAGTTCTGGAGCGTGGCCACCAGGGGCCCGGTGAAGTGCAGGTTCCGCAGGGCCTGCCCGGTCAGGAGCTCCCAGGTAGTGTTCCCGCTCCAGGCGGGTGCGTTGGTCACCGCCGCTCCCGCAATGAGGGCGTCCACTTGCGCGGAGTCGTAATAGGATGCGAGCGCTATAGCGATCTCGTTGAGGATGGGTGCCTGCAGCCCGGTCCACGGCACGTATGCGCTCAGGTCGATGGCCCCCACGGCCGCAGCAATGGCAGCATCCATCTGCAGTGTCGTGCTATACGGGACCAGAGCTGCACTGATGGCTCCATTGGTTTCCCCGGAATCGTAATAGCTACCCAGGGTGGCCAGCACCCAGGACTCGCTGGCCAGGGGGGCCAGCAGGGCGTTGACCTCTCCCTGCGTGTACGCATCGCAGGCCAGGCTCAGCGTGAAGTTGTCGTTCTGCAGGGAGACGCTCAGGGGAGCGTTGAAGTGCCAGTTCCTAATCGTGTTCGTTCCGACCAGCAGATCCCAGGTGGTCTGTCCGGGCCACGCCTGGGCGTGGGCGAGGTTCGTGCCGCCGCCCGTGGTCAGAGCGGCCAGTGCTGCGTTGAGCGCATCGATGGCGCTCTGCAGACTTGTTTCGGAAGCCGGCCTACGACCAGAGCGAGACGTACACGCAGGTCGAGGTGAATGCTCAGATTTCGAGCGCCGTGGACGCCCTGAACGTTTCGCAGTATGCCACGCAGGCCGACATCGACACCTCCCTTGCTTCGGAGCTCACGAATTACTGGGATCAGGGCGAAACTCAGCAGAGATCGCCAGCCAGATCAGCTCCTCTGGGCTCCTCACCGAAGCGCAGGGCGACGCCCGGTATCATCCCGTCAACGGCAACGCCGGAGGCGGAGGCATCATCCCTATGGTGCTCGACAATTTTACGCCCCGAATGATCCGAGCGCTACTGCCTCAAGCGCCTCTGGGGGCGAACCTGATCCTCGGCAACCAGGCCACGGTGCAACTGACCTGCGACTGTTACTCCAAAACTGAGTCAGATGGCAGGTACTTCTCTAACACCGATTACGCACCTCTCGACTCCCGGTACCATGTGGTCAATGGGAACGCGGGGGGCGGAGGCATCATCCCTATGGTGCTCGACAATTTCACGCCAAGAATGATAAGGGCGTTGCTGCCCCAGGCGCCCCTGGGAGCGAACCTGATCCTCGGCAACTCCGCCACGGTGCAGCTGACCTGAGACTGCTACTCGAAGAGCGAATCGGATGCGCGCTATGCGCTGGCGGGGGCACCGCCCGCGGACCCCCTTGCTGGTCAACGACGTGCGCGCCAACGGAGCGGATTTCTTGACGCTGCGGGGCGGCAGCCTGGGCATCGAGTTCGAGGCTTCCAACGGGGCCGCCGTGGCCGACCTGTCCTCGAGCCAATTCAGCCTCAAGACGGGGGTCAACATGCTGACCATGGGCCGCATCTTCGCGGACTCCAGCCTGGGCATCGCCACGGCCGGCAGCTTCCAGGCGGACACGGTGGAGCCCCTGCTTACCACCAATCAGTTCCTCAACCTGTGTCACGTACCAGGCGGACCAGAGCCTCTGCACCTTTGCCACGTCAGAGGTGCACTCGGTGGCCCCGCGGCTGCGAGTGGACACGGAGCTCTACATCGACGACGCCACGGGCACAGCCACGGGGCTGGTGACCAATGCCATCTCCACGCGGGTCCAGGACACGCAGCTCACCAGCACCGGCGGCTCCGGGGACACCGTTGTTACCGGCGCACTGGATGTGCAGGGCACGTTGACCTCGGGGAGCGTGGAGCTCAGCACGGAGCTGCGGGCGCCCACGGTGCGGGCGAGGCCCACAGACGACTATTTGACCCTCACGGGCGGCACGCAGGGCACCTACCTCACAACTCTCTACACGGCTTCCGC